GTAATAGGAGCATTTATTGCCTTTCATATCCGAACCTTACCGCATTGAATGCGGTCTCGTCAACAGAAGGGTGCAATTAATTGTTTGCTTCCCAAAGCGCATGTCAGCAACAGCATGCGGTTTGCCTGTTTTTGATGTGATATCGTATGCCACGCGTCCGTCACGTATTGGCTATGACTTCTGTATTCCAGCATGTTCTGACATTACTTGTGTAAGACGAGGTCATGATGAATAGTCTAGACTGGCATAGGCTGATGTCCCGTACGTCAGTAGCTTTATCTGGGAGTAGAGGAAGCGTCCAGGATGGAGTGACCCTCGGCACCGAGGAAAGGCTCACCTCGGGGGGACCGAGGGGTGGTGTGTTTCCGAGGTACACGGTGACCGAGGACACGTGTCGTTGTATAATGCACCGAATATGTGATCCTATATGAGAGGTACCTCAGGGGAGAGGATACTTTGCCGATGGTGCTTGACCCCGAGCAACATTGTTCTAGCACCCCGAGGATACGTGTCTTCATCATAGGGCTTTTCAGAAGAGTCCCATCAACCAATATGCTTCTTACTGGTTCTTGGAATCTTTCAGTATTCCTACATGACAAGCCTGTCTTTAACTTAATTTTTATGTTTCCATTATTTAAAAAGCTTACAAAGAATCCTAAACCAAATGAAAAAGGAAGAACTCTAATTAAAAATCAATCCAAATGACATCAAATGGTATTCTTTCTCGTATGCAATCGCATATAATTCCAAAATAGATTAAGATAATAAATATTTTTCAATTGACGGTACTTTTTATTATTTCGGATTCCACACTACTAATTAAGAAAATTGAATAAAATCCATAGCGGTTATTTTTTTTTTACTTTTGATAACTTGTTGCCTTTATAATGCCACTGTGGCATGTCACTATACACTAAGAAATGTATTAATGTAGGCAAGTTACAACACCAAAGAAATCTAAAAATTAAGATGCAACAATAAAATATAATAAAAGTTACGTTTTATAAGAAACGAGAAATTAGGGTATGCACTATAGATGAGAATGTTTCAAAAGTCACTTTGGTTAATCAATGGTGATTGCATGCATCCCAATTTATATTATCATGTATATATTCAAAAAAAAACAAAAACACATACTTGATAAGTTTTATGGTCTTTAAAAACACATTGTACATCATAGGTGACGAAAAATATGCCCAAGTGCACCTCCCCTCTCCCTTCAAAAGTCTCATTGATTGAATTTTGTACAAATTTCTTCTCAAAAGTTAAGAAATTATAATTCAACATTTTTTAAAATAGCAAAATAGTGGATTGACGACGAAACTAATTACTATATTAGGTACCACCGAGTAGTGTGGTCTAGTGGTGGTACTGGTCTTACACCTCATTTAAAGATTGTGAGTTTGAGTCTTAGAATTTCTATTAAGGCTCGGTGGTTGACCGCTATGTTAACCTAATTAAGTTTGATCATGAGAAGTGTTTCAGGTACGGTTAGGGGCCTAATGATCCCACCGGTGAGAGCCTAACAGGGTGGCCATTGGACGTTTTTCTTTACCCTCACCCCTTTTTTTCAATTTCAAAAAAAAAATTACTATATTAGGTGAATAGTCTCCAACCATATCCCAAATTATCGGTCAATCTTAAGGGTATTTTATGTGGTAATGGAGAAAAACCATAAATTCAAACGTTTTAAATTTAAATCTTGACAAAATTTTGGGGTCAGGTTATGAAGGATAAATCTCTCATGAATATTCTAGTTCTAGAGTGAATAGTTTGTTTTTGATTAAGTCAATGAGGGGACTAATTGAAATACGCACAAGTTAACCTAAATACCCCTTGAAAAAAAAAATTACCAGTCTTGGCCAAAACTATACCACCAAAAAATAATACATGTTGCATTAATATTTGCAACATGTGGTAGAATGGCAAAAAATGATATTGACCATATAGATCTTAATTGAAAAAAAAAAAAAAAAAGAAAAAAAATTCCAATAGGTGTCATTATCTAAATTGCATCTCATTTACATTTGTCTCTATATCCGATAGGTGTCGGTTATTTCAAAGTTTTCCCAAACCATGCAAAAAAAGATTTTTAAAAATCAGGTGGGATCACGTTGCCATGATTGGACAAAAGGTTAACAAAATGGCAATTCATGGTATCACGTTTGTTTTGTTAAAACCACATCTATCTTACCTTAATTACAAGAAATCAATCCCATGAAAAAAGTTGTATGGAATGTATTTCACTCCTACTTTTCAGCTGTATTGATGGTAGTGGAAACATTTGAAATCACGCCATCCGTGCATTGTTCTATTTTTCTTATGCTCGGTGTGACAAAACAAATAAAAAGTAAGATGAATACATTTTTATCCTTTTAAGAAGAAAAATAGGAATAAAAGGGATCAGTAAGATCAATCTTACTTTCTTTTCTTAAAAGATAAAAAATGTATCTCTCTTACTTTTTATTTCTCTTATTTTTCATGATTTCTAACAAATTGAGCATTAATGACAAATAAACCGCTTAATATCTAAACCAAACATTTCATGAAAGTGTTACGTTATCACGTAATGACCACNTTTACTTTCTTTTCTTAAAAGATAAAAAATGTATCTCTCTTACTTTTTATTTCTCTTATTTTTCATGATTTCTAACAAATTAAGCATTAATGACAAATAAACCGCTTAATATCTAAACCAAACATTTCATGAAAGTGTTACGTTATCACGTAATGACCACCAAGAGGTGAGCTCACATATGGGGCAGAATTATAATTATAAATAGAGCAATGCTATTGGGACCTAATTTACTGACCTAATTTATTGACCTAATTCACTATAACCTTTATATTTACTGTGGAGCCCATCAAATATTAGAACTTAGTGTTGATCCAATAGTTCTATTGAAACCACATCATTATGTCAAAAAATTAGATCAAATTTTTAGGTCCAAATAGTATTACTCTTATAAATATATGGGTTATGTAGTAGNCACATATGGGGCAGAATTATAATTATAAATAGAGCAATGCTATTGAGACCTAATTTACTGACCTAATTTATTGACCTAATTCACTATAACCTTTATATTTACTGTGGAGCCCATCAAATATTAGAATTTAGTGTTGATCCAATAGTTCTATTGAAATCACATCATTATGTCAAAAAATTAAATCAAATTTTTAGGTCCAAATAGTATTACTCTTATAAATATATGGGTTATGTAGTAGCATTTTCTTTATAATTAAGTGTATTGGGTAGAAAATTAGAGAATTATGTATAATAAAATTTAAATTCAATACTANAGCATTTTCTTTATAATTAAGTGTATTGGGTAGAAAATTAGAGAATTATGTATAATAAAATTTAAATTCAATACTAGACATATGAAATTATTATATTTCAAGACCTAATTAGTTAGAATTATTAGATTAATTATACAATTTAAAATTAAATTAAGATTTCTTTTAGTTCAATGATCATAATTAATTAAATCTGTTTATATATAAATAACAAATTTCTTATGAGATATCATGTTAAATGAGGACCATTATTGGGCCGCCATGTATTAATCTCGCTATGAAGAATCATACGAAGTTAGATCATCGTGATTTCGTTATTAGTCAATAGTCAGTCTGCCATGGGACCCAAAAAACTTATCTCCCGTGGGACCCAGGCCAGCCGGTCATATTCTAGGCACATGACTTCTATGGGCTTGGATACATGTAATTATCACTCATTTATTAGTATGAGAAAAATAATTCGGTAAGATCTCACTTGGGGACTACGTTAATTAGGTGAGTTCGCAACAAACGATGAGAAAGAGAGAGACTCATAAACTAAAAAAGGGCCCTACATTTTTCCGATGTTTATATAATAACCACACGATCTGCAGGCGTGGAACGGGCCGGGACCACCAAAAAGTCAAACTTCTATACTTTTATTTATAAGTTTATAATGATAAAGCCCCTTATACGGTAATTATTGAACACCGTCAAACATTTTCATCTAATTCTATATAACGTATGCATATAAGTTGATTACATCAGGGACTTCAGTGTTCTGTAGGTCTCGTAGGTGACTTCTCTCTCTCTCTCTCTCTCTCTGCACATGTCTGTGAATGTGTATGTGTTCATATGTACTGATATCAGTATGAAAAGTAGCAGATCTAGGGTTTGGAATGCTGAATTTCTGTAAAGCGACTTTTCATTGTTTGATCATGTCTCATTCATTCGCTCACTTTTTTGTTTTTTTTAACAGTTGAGCTGGTTCGTGTCAAAATTTTGCTAATTTTTGATTAATTATCGGAATGAGGTATGGATTTTGAGTAGTTTATGGTTTATCACTAGTTTAATTGGATATTTTGTATTGAATTATGTGAGGTGATGGAGATTTGGTGTGTGATGAGCAGATAGATTGTGAGATCGAGATCGAAGTAGGGAGTGAACGAAGAGGAAAGTGAAGATGAGTGAAGGCCAGCGGTTTCAGCTGGGAACGATTGGGGCTCTGTCTTTGTCTGTGGTTTCGTCGGTGTCCATTGTGATTTGTAACAAGGCGCTTATTAGCACTCTTGGTTTCACTTTTGGTGAGTCATCCACGTCTTCAGTGATGCAAAACATGTCATTTTTATGATTCCCTAATTTTTCCTCTCAATTTGCTTATGGTTCATATACTTTGATTTCTTTGATGTTTACTTCATAGTGAGTTTCTTTGTACTACTGGTTTGTGTGTTATTTATTTGTTTCCTGCTTTATATAAGCTTAGAAGATCGTTTGTGCCGGAAGTTGGTACCAAACGAATTGCACTTCCTTTGAAGAATCCAGTTTCATCTCACAATAAACTTAAGGGTTCCTGCTTTTTTTTTTCTTCTTTTTTCTATTGAAATGCGAGTGACATACGTGTATGGCTTATGCATTCTGGCCACTGAAATATATTTATCTAGACCAGCTGAGAAAGAATGAAATTATTTGTGCTAATAATATTTGATCTGCTGCCAACTACAGAAAATATAGCAAATTAGTTTTCCTTTTACATATTATCTTATGGTGGGTAGGAGATAAAGTATATATCAGATCGGGATACTCAANCTTCTTTTTTCTATTGAAATGCGAGTGACATACGTGTATGGCTTATGCATTCTGGCCACTGAAATATGTTTATCTAGACCAGCTGAGAAAGAATGAAATTATTTGTGCTAATAATATTTGATCTGCTGCCAACTACAGAAAATATAGCAAATTAGTTTTCCTTTTACATATTATCTTATGGTGGGTAGGAGATAAAGTATATATCAGATCGGGATACTCAAGTAAATGCTGAGTTAAATAGGTGGTGTGCAACTAAAGATAGAAGTCACCTACAGCAATATGCTGAGTCTAAAAGCATATGGCCTATAGTAGAAAGAGCAACTTCCTACAGCAATATTTATTCNGGGATACTCAAGTAAATGCTGAGTTAAATAGGTGGTGTGCAACTAAAGATATGTCTAAAAGCATATGGCCTATAGTAGAAAGAGCAACTTCCTACAGCAATATTTATTCCAAAAGAGTGATGATCATGCAAATCAATGCTTCATTGAATTGAATTAGCTTGCTTCTTTCACTATTTCCTTTGTAAGAGATGTTGGTCAACATAACATTGAATATTTGTGACAAATATGAAGTTCCACTGAAATGTGCCTCAGCCTTTTCGTATTCGGGAGATGAGCTGTCAGTTATATTCCCCTTTAATGGCTTTGAGCATGTATGATATCCCTAATTAAAAGTATCTTTCCTTGATAGACGCGTTGTTGTTTCACATGGATGCAGCCCTTTGTTTCATTTTATGTTGTGATATTAGTGACTTCTTTCCCTTTTTTTTTCTTCTCATTATGCTTGACCACAAATGGCCTTTCATTTGACACTGTTTCTTTTTATAATTGTGGCACAAGCCAGGGTCTTATGGTGACAATATGGCACCTTATAGAGTTGATACTGTCAGTTCTTAAGAAGTTGAGATCTCTTTTTCACCTATTCCTCTCTACTTCTTGTTGGCGCCTCTCTATACCACAGTGTGAAAGTGATGACATACAATATGTGGACAGAAGCACAATCAAAGTTTCTCAACATGGGGAGAAAGTGCCAGATGCGGCAACTCCCTAAAAACTAGACATGGTCTTATGGTGAGAACATGGCACATTATAGAGTTGATACTGTCAGTCCTTGAGAAGTGCCAAAGTGATTAACATCTCTTTTTTACTTATTCGCCTTAACTTATTGGTGGCGCCTCTCTATACCACTGTGTGAAAGTAGTATATTGCAATTTGTGGATAGAAACACTATCATCGATACTCAACATGGAGAGAGAGTGCCAGACAGGGCAACTCCCTAAAAACTAGGCATGTGTGTTTGCACTTGTGATTTGGTGAATTGCAATTTGTGGACAAAAACACTATCATCTATATTCAACATGGGGAGAGAGTGCCAGACGGGGCAACTCCCTGAAAACTAGGCATGCGTGTTTGAACACGTGATTTTACTCTATCAGACATCAATTTCATTCTAAGTACAAGTATCCATGAGTCTGCCAGATTACCACAAATCCTAAAATGATGAATGCATTAACATCCTTGACTTGTTTAGAAAGTTGTATGTGCACTGTTTATAAGTATTCAGGCAATGATGAGTGAGTAAGCACATGAGTCACACTCACAAGTGTCCAGCATAGCATGGCTTTTTGAGAGGGAGAGGTGTCCTACATGTCATGAGTTTAATATTTAATAGTCACCACCCTTTTGTCAAGTGGGATTTGGAGTGTATGCATATGCTGATATGATCATTGGTCACTGGTTTAGATATATGTGAGAGATGTTTTAAGAGAATTTAAAATGATGATAATACCACTGTAAAAACTGTAGTTGAATTCTAAAGTCGCTTTGTGCCTGTCCTGACCCCAATATTTGGTCTATGGTCATCTATTTTTTTCCCTCTGTCTTGAATTGAGGATCCTTCCAAATAGTCTATAAGGTAAGCAATAGAGCATAGCTTACAAATACAACAAAGTGTCAACATTTGTAACTGCCATCTTTCAATACTCAACATGGAATGGTTTGCATGCAAGGAACTAGTATCTTCCTANCTCTATGGTCATCTATTTTTTCCCCTCTGTCTTGAATGGAGGATCCTTCCAAATAGTCTATAAGGTAAGCAATAGAGCATAGCTTACAAATACAACAAAGTGTCAACATTTGTAACTTCCATCTTTCAATACTCAACATGGAATGGTTTGCATGCAAGGAACTAGTATCTTCCTAGTTTCTGCTTTCCAGAGTTATGATTTTTTAAGCTTTCTGTACTTTATAAAATTCAGGACTCCTGGTAATGATCATAGAAATAAGAACTTGAAGGGGTTGGGGGGTTGCAGGCCGTTACTATTGTTGATCCTGCACATATAGGACGTTGGACGGGTGTAAAAGGTGTAAACATTTGGCACTGCTTTCACAAAGTGGATGCTCTCAAACTCAAACTGCCGCAAGGTGGTTTCTCTAGTATCTATCTTTGTATCCTCGTCACTTTCAAAAGCCACATAAGCATCGCTTACCAGTGATTAAAACTGGTATGTAGTAGTTGTTCACCTCACAAGCCACTACCAGTAATTCAGAGGGAAAAGTTGAAGATGTGCAATGCAGGGATGTCTAAACGTTCTTAGAACTGATTTGGTTTCTTCTGGATGAAATCCTTTGCATACTGAATGCTACCAGCCCTGATGGAGCTGGTTATTTAAAAGTTTAGAGATATTGAACTTTTATTTTACTTACCCCACTGATCATTTCTATGCTGTTGAGTGCCGGTCTTTAGTTTGCAATTTTTGTAATGTAGAGTGTGGACAGGTTTCCGAGCCATACTTTTTTTTATCTATATCGTTTTTGTTTTTTTAGCATAGAACTTGTAAGGCATGCAATTGTGATACTTTCAGTCTGCTTATATTTCTTGAATCTTAGATCTTAACTTGTCATATTGGACACTCAGCTACAACTTTGACAAGCTGGCATCTTCTGGTCACATTTTGTTCTCTTCATGTGGCATTATGGATGAATTTGTTTGAGCACAAGCCTTTTGATCCAAGAGCTGTCATGGGCTTTGGCATCCTAAATGGGACATCCATTGGACTTCTAAATCTTAGCCTGGGTTTCAACTCTGTTGGTTTCTACCAGGTACATTTTTTATGTCCTTTCAATTGTGGTTGATGGTTTCAACTTTCAAGTGGTGGTTTTGACTAGTTTACTACATTGACAATTGGATGGATCTGTGGCTTGTATTTATTCTCCTTGCCCAATAGATAAAAGGCCATTAGACCATAAAGGTCTTATAATTGTTGCTGGGGCAAATTTCAATTACACCTTCTGAAAAATGGCCTAAATACAGGGACACCCCCTATGGTTTCTAAAATATCACCGTCATCCCCTGTCAGATTTTGTCAGATGTAAAATAGAAAATATTAAATGGCATTACTACCTCTAACAAAATATTTCTTTCTTTGTCTTATACTTATTACTTAATTTGACCTTAGTTTAAATACTTATTTGACCCATATTAAAATAATTTAATCATAACAAATGCCCATCTTTATTTATACTGGTAGTTGCACACACACCCCAAGTTGATCATGGTTCAAGGTTGCAGTATTAACTATCAACTTGAAAAGCATGATACACATTGGTCGCGGCACAACACGGTATTGGTTGATACACACAAAATGCTAAATACAAGGCCTAAATTTTTTTAAAAAAAACATGAAAGATAATAGAAGAATGTAAACAACAATATGCATGTATGATATGCCCAAAAAATGCATTATCTAACACATTAAACATAGCGAAATGAAATATAAGGGTGCTACCGCTAATATTTACCATCATCAGTTTACAAGTAATATATGGATAATTATATATTGAAGCATATATATGTCTAATGATTATATGTCCACTTGTATGGGAAAAAAAAAAAACTTAATAAAAGATATCAGTTTAAGATGATTAATTCTTAAATATAGNGTACAAGTAATATATGGATAATTATATATTGAAGCATATATATGTCTAATGATTATATGTCCACTTGTATGTGAAAAAAAAAAAAAAAACTTAATAAAAGATATCAGTTTAAGATGATTAATTCTTAAATATAGATATATATTGCATATATATAATGTTGTCAAATATACTATTAGCATATGTTTAAGCCTTAAAACATACTTTACCTATTTACCTACAAAAATATTTAACAAAATTTATCTAGAATGGTTCATCAATGTTTTGTTGAAACATTTAAGAAATTACAAAAAAATAAAATGAGCAATTTATTTAAGATAGACGAACATAGCATTTGGTTCTAAGAGTTTGCTTGACGTCGAGAAAGAGAGAGAGAGAGAGAGAGAGAGACCATAAGTGACGATATAGAAGAACCACTTTTGCTGTGAAAAAGCAATGATGATGGGTTATTGTGCGATGATGACTAGACCTATGGATTTCGATTTCACAAAGAAGAAGAAGAAGAAAAAAAAATGTCTTTTTGTAGTCGTCTTCATCATGTGGGTGTCGATCAGGGGCGAAGCCACCCTTGGGTTAGGGTGGGCACATGCCCCCTTTAATTTTTTTTCTTCTTCATATTAGACATTTAATTTTTGAAATAAACTTTAGAAATATTTAATTGTGCTCACCCTATTATTATGTTCTGGTGATATCGATTTGAATAGACCCTTACCTAAATAATTGTTAATTTTTCGAACAATGTTATTGAGTCCTAATTTAAGGACTTAATGCATTGTGATATTAGGTCTAATAATGAGTCTCAATATTTAATAAACTCTACTATCTATCCAATGGTTATAAATCATTGGATCTCCACCAATTAAATATCAAATTATGTGCAACTAATATTATGGTTATCTTCTAGACAGGTTTCAGACATGTCTAAATATATTTTGAACATATTGAGGTTATTTTTATAATTTTTTTAAATTGTAGGGTTATTTTGTCATTATATAAAAATGTGTGTTAAATATAAAAGAAATATTATTGATAAAATTGATTTGCAACTCTTTCAAATAATAAAACATATCAGAGTCAATTGTAAGTGGCAATAATTAGTCTCGTTCTTTATAAATACTTTTAATTATTTTTTATTTATTCATGTTATGCATATTGATTTTTAGTCTATTATATTTACTGAACTTTTAAGTATTAAATACAATTTTAATAAATATGAATTTATGAACTTCTACGGTCAATTGGGAAAAAAAAAAAAAATTAACACATGCTAATGTGCCTAATCTAAAATTTTTTCCTACCTCCACCCTTGGTGTCGATTTTACATGTTTGTCTTGAAAATTATTTAAAATTCTTCCTTTGTTTTTGTGAAAAAAATGGAGTCTAATTTAGGATTTTTATTTCCTAAAAATTTGCCCAATGTGATGATTAATTAGGGGTGAATTTCTAAGGTTCTACGGACATAGAATTTTTCCGTTTTGTATCTTTGCCTTTTTTCTGTTGTTTGAGATCATAAGAACCAATTGTCATCGAATTGATTTGTTTCGGCTTCAACTTATCCAATTTGAGCGATACAACTCTGAGTTAGGCCAGCACTATCGTGTGGCAATCGAGTTATGACTAATTCAGCTATATTTTGCTATGTTCTTGTATCAAGTATCGATATCAGATCGGTGGATGTCGAGATGGATACAACTTGGCCAAATCTAATTAGACTCGGCTGATAATTTGAACCATGAAATTGACTTTCAATTCAACAAACTAACATTCAATTTCATCACAATAACACTAAATTTATCAATTTAATTTCATTAAATTAATATTCAATTTCATCAAATTAATATTTAAAAAATTAATTTCGTCAAATTAACATTCAATTTATTTAATTTACAATTTATTTTCATCAAATTAAAATTCAATTAATCCAATTAACACCTATTTTATCAATTCAATACCAATTAACATTCAATGTCATTCCACTAACATTGAATTTTATCTAATTAATATTCAATTTCATCAATTTTACATTTGATTTCATGAGATTAACTGTATTTTTATCAATTTAATACCAAATTAAAATTTTAATTTTTCAGTTTGTAGTAGGTGCTGGTGAAGGTTAAACTTTTTCCAAGCTTATAAATTGGACAAACGTGTTTTTTTATCTGCATGTACAGGTGAACATCCATGTGCATCAGATATGAAAAAGTTGCAATTGTAGGACATGAGGACTGTTTGGTTTTAGGATTAGTTTGTTTTGATAAAATAATATGGTTATTTGGGTACAAGACTGATATATAACTGAAGAGTAAAATTTTCATTTGTAAAAGAATATTGGCTGATATCATCACTTTTTAGATGTGTCAGTAGCGACGGGTAGTATGTGAAATGAACCTCTAAACTATAGGGGATGGCAGTGATATTTCAGAAAACATACAGGTAGTCCCTGTAATTAGGCCATTTTTAAGGGGGTGTTACCGTGTCAGTGAAATTTACCCTTGTTTCTGCTATTTGAACACTGCTAATTGTTACTGCAATTTCAGACTATAACGCTACTGAAAGCTACCAAGTGTGCTACATGTTTTATTACTGAACTGATGAACCATCCTTTCATCACTCAGACAACGATCATCTGGCGGTGACAGATTACCAATGTTAAAGGCTTGACCTTAACGTAGAGTTATATTGTCAGAATGGCCAGTGGAAATTTTGAAATCATTAAAGACAAAATCTCCAAATTTCCAGGAATTATGAAATTTCTCCTGGACACACTGTTATAAGATCCTTTACTATCTTGATACCCTGTTCAAGTTCATATTCATGATTCTTGTGTTTCAGCGTCTAAAACTTTTATTTGGAGCAGTCTCTGAACTTTCTCTCTCATGATTTTGCATTGTAGATGACAAAACTGGCTATCATCCCCTGTACAGTTCTTTTAGAGACTCTTTTCTTCAGGAAGATATTCAGGTTAAGTCTTCATTTCAATCTTTCCCTTACTGTGGCAAGCATGTTTCCTGATCTTAAGAAGGATTCTCAAGTCTATGCAGATGGAGTCAGTTTGTTTTTGAAGCATGATTACCTTATTTAGGTTTTACTGACCTGGAAAAATAAAAGTATTTGTAAGACTATATTAATTACAACTATAACTTTGCTTCAGAATACTCATATATAAGGGCAAAGCTTAGCTTTACAGTAAGCAAGCTGAAATGCTGTGGCTAGAGTATGAAAATTATACCTAATGAACTATAATACTCATTAATCACCCACAATACGTCAAAGACACTACGAGATATAACATGTGGTTATTGTTTTGCGTCCCAATGTATTTGTGATTACTCCTGTCCACCTAGCTTGCTCAATTTCTTTCGAAAAATCTTCATGTTAAATATATATTTGAGGAACTTTTGATTTGATTTTTCTTAACTCTCTTTTTTTATATTTTAAGAATATGAGTGTACCCGGTGTCTGAGATTGTTTGTCATATGTTGGAGAATGTGCCAGATACCTTGGGCCTTGTTTCAGGCATATGTCCAGTAGTATTTGAGAGGTGGCCGTATCCAACATGAACACTGCTCTTTCTAAAATGCTCTCTGCCTCTTAGATTGTAACTGTGTGGTTGCTTGTAACTTAGACAGCTTAAGGCCTCTTAAAAGTCACTTTCCATTTTAGGGTCATAGGTACATTATTGTATTTGGAATGTATGGTTGGCTTATATGCAAATGTCATACTAATATCCATTTTGAATGCACTTATATATTTGCCTTCTTTTTGGACTAATACACATCCTTGATCATAATTTGCAGTAGGAATGTCCAGCTTTCTCTTACCATCCTTCTTTTGGGTGTTGGAATTGCAACAGTGACTGATCTGCAGCTCAATGCCCTTGGTTCAGTCTTATCTATGCTTGCGGTTGTCACAACCTGTGTTGCCCAGATTGTATCCTTGGCTGAAGTGCACTCTCTGTTGTGATATTCATGTTTCCTTTTTCCACATGTTACCATGCTATATAGGACCAGGAAAATAATAAGGTTTGATCCGAAAAGAAGCTTGATTCCAACTTTTCCTTCAGATCATCATGCAGTTGTTGGTTAGGTGGTGTTGTTGGATATTGTTTTCATGTTGTTATTTAAGACCTTAACCAGTGGCTCTCAGATGACCAATACCATCCAGAAAAAGTTCAAAGTTTCTTCAACCCAGCTCCTGTATCAATCTTGCCCCTACCAGGCAATCACTCTGTTCATCTCTGGACCATTTGTAGATGGGCTGTTGACGAATCAGAATGTCTTTGCTTTCAAATATACCCCTCAAGTGCTGGTGAGAATCAAATCCTTTTCTCCTGGCCGTTAAATATTGCACAAAACATTAAACACTCTGTATTGTCTTGATTGCAGGCATTCATTGTTCTATCCTGCCTAATTTCAGTCTCGGTGAACTTTAGTACCTTTTTGGTTATTGGAAAAACATCTCCAGTCACCTACCAAGTCCTAGGACATTTGAAAACATGCCTAGTTTTAGCCTTTGGATACATTCTCCTCCACGATCCATTTAGCTGGCGAAACATTTTAGGGATCCTGGTTGCTGTGGTTGGGATGATAATTTATTCTTATTGTTGTGCTATTGAGAGCCAGCAAAAAGCCAGTGAAGCATTGCCACAGTTGTCCCAGGTACTTTTGCCTTCTTCCCTTTTGACATGTTGGCAGTATTTTTTCCTGGTATGACCATCAGAGAGAAGAGGAATAGATGGTCATTTTCTCCTCGCCAATTCTCTCTCTCCCCATTATTATTGCATGCTCTTTTAGTCCTCACCGCTGTGGTCTGGTTGAAGCATTTGATAAATTCTGGAGAAATATTGATTTACTAATCTTTTTTTTTTTTTTTTTTTTGAAATGTTGAAGGCAAAGGAAAGTGAATCTGATCCTCTCATAAGTGTAGAAAATGGATCTAGCATCCTAAATGACGGTGTTACAAAAGCCCCTGCGTGGAATTCGAACAAGGACTTGCTTGCATAAAGCCTCCTCACTCGTTACCAGTTTGTTCAGCCTAGTTCAAAATTCATATAAGAAACCATTCGGGCAATGAAGATGTTGCTGCAGGGGTTTCCATACGTCACAGAGCATGGGTTTGAGCATTTTTGAGAAAATTATATAAGTTCTATCCTAAATAGTTATCAATGCAAAAGAATACTCTTTTAGATGTAGCGTTTTTTATTATACCTTTCTACTAGTTAGGTATGCCAACAAAATGCATAATGCAATGGGGTATTGTTGTTCCCATATACTGAAATTCTTATGTTCTTCCCGAAAGAGGGAAAAAAGCGATATGCAGCCTTCAAAATGAAATCATATCAATCTTAACTGAAATGGTTGCTGGTATCCGACAAGAGACTGCTGTGTTCCTACTTGATTCTTGGTACCCTTGGATTTTGCTGAAGCCGCTAATATGTGGTAAAGCTTTTGGAAGTGAAAATAGGGTCTTTCTGTTATTAGGCTTTGGCGAATATGGATGGAACCTGGTAATATGATGGGATTTGTCAGTGTATTAGGTTTTGTGAGCTCGTTTCTTGAGACTCTTCTAAGTTCAATTGTGTTTCTAAGCTCTCCAAGCATGCAGCTCAGTGTACCTTTTTATGTGGAGGAATGGATAGAAGAGGGAGGTACATAGCCAATGGCACCTCCGGGTTTTTGACACCCAGCTGTTTAGTCATTGTTTGGATTGTAACTTCTCTCGTCTTCAATAGAGGGAGCTCTTAAATTTTAGATCCTGATGGTGGTAAAGGTAGCCTTGGCTTTTTTTATTTTTTAACCTTTTTCTTCGTTTCTAATGCTTTGTATATGTGTTTTTAAAATGAATTCCTCTCTTAAATACTTTTTACAACGAAAAAAATGCTATATCTATATACAGGAGAATATACTCAAAATTGATGAAAAGAAGCACAAAGAAGGTGCAAAAAAAAAA